TTATGGAATGATTAAAAGATAAGGAACCGGAGCTATCACCAACTCTTTTATACCTTCTTCTTTTTGCGAGAAAGAAGGGAGGAGAAAAAGAATGATTGAGAAATTGTTCATTAAATCAGAATGAAGGAGGGAAAAGTGAAAAAATGCAATATTTTTTGTCCTCTTTCTGTTCAACTCTCAAATTTTGCAACTCAATATTATTATTGTCTCACAAAAAATTTCATTTCAAACATCAGAATAAAAAAAAAAAAGACTTTTCAGGAGAGTTAAATCATTGATAGCAAGTTTTAAAGGAGTTTGCAATTTTTTTCTTTCTTTTTGGTAGCTATAGCTTTAGTTTTTTCTCATCAACAGATATGCATTATCAATAAAAATATGAAACTATCTTTTATCGACAAACATGTAATATCAAAAAGAAAAAATATGAACACATCGCTTATCGATAAAATATATTTTGTTGGCAAATATATCTTATCAAAAAAAGTGAATATCGACAAATATGTCTTATAAACAAAAGTGTAAACATTTTTCTTATCAGCAAAATATACCATGCTGACAAAAACATGATAATATTTCTGATTTTTTTTTTGATATCTATACTTATAGTTTTCTGTTCCTTTTTTTTGCAGTGAAGTTAATTTCATTTCTCTTTTTGTTCATTATAACTTTCGTTCATTTCGCATATAGCATTTTTTGAGATTATTCTGAAATTATTTTGAATTCATAAAATTGGATAAAAGGAAATGATATAAAGCAACAGAAAAAAGAGGAAAAAAAAAATAAAAAATTCATGAAAATATCAAACACAATATTTCTTTTGGAATTTCAAACTTCAGTACAACGAAAAACTTCACAGAATGAGATATTTCAAATATCCAAACATATTTTAGAAATGTTTCAAACCCAACATAATTAGTCTGCGTGTGACTTAAAGTACATAAAAGAGTAGGAAAACATGGAACAACCTTTAGCGATATTTTTAGAACAATTCAAATGTATACAGAAATCTGATCATTTATTCTTTTAAATGTTTTTAAAAGAAGCAAAATCTCGAATGCTAGCATAAACGTAGCAGTAGAAGTTTCAACAACCTACAATTCTTGCTACATTTTTCCCATTAAATAATTACTTTTTCCAAAAATCAGATCATTTCAGTCTCTGTTTCATAGATTTTAAAAAAAAAAAAATGTATGCCTAATACACCAAAAGTCATTGAAGAGAAAGCAAATCATAGAGTGCTATGATAAATAGAACGAAATTGTAATCAAAAAATAAGCGCATATTTCACTTGTAGTTCTCGGCAATTGAATACACATTATATGAATGGATTTCAAAAAGCTAATATTCTCATTTGTTAATTTATTCTGATCTGGATGTAGACTTCAAGTTCTAAACATTTTATTATACGTTTGTATCTGTTACGGAATAGACGAAAATATTCCGGAAAATGAAAGCAAATTGAATAATCAGAGATGCATATCCTGTGTAAGTTTAACACTTTAATATTTTATTCAGGATTGAATTAAACAAAATGTTTGAGTAGTTAAATGTCATGAGCCTTATGCAATCATTCGCAATAGAAAATTATGTCAGCCGTTAAAAGAAGCGTTCTCTTCCTAAATCAGTTTTGATGATTTCATTTGAAAGGATAAATAACTTTTACACTGCAAAATTTTTTTGGCAAATAAGAAAATAAACATCTGTAGTGAAAAAAACGTCAAATAAAGAATGCATTGTAAAAATTATGTACAACAATTACGCATACATATGCAGCAAAAAAATTTAACATCTTGTGTGAATATGCTTCCCATTAGTATGCAAACATAAAATGATCATAGCATTGAAAAATAAACTGCAATTTTACAAAGACTTCTTATGTCCATTCTCATTTGCTGCTTAAGTTTACTGACAATAAGCTTATGAAAAATGAAAACAGAAGCAGTGATCGGATATGACAAAGCCAAGCAATCAGTGTCATTTATTTCATTTCCTATCCAGAACAAGTACAGATCTGTTTTCTAACCAATATTACTGTTTTGACAAAGTTTTAAGTTACAATTAATTATAACAAGAAACAACACCACTGAATCACACCTTAAAGAATGCCACATTGAATGTTAACCACTAACTTTGTGGAGTTTGAAAAAAAAGGAACTCTTAAACAGATATGATACAGTAGTTTAATTAATAATAACCTGTGATTTTGTTTGCCTTTGTCATTCAAACTAATAACAGTCTGAATGACAAAGGCAAACAAAGCACTTTTTTTAAAAATAACATACTTTTCAACGACATAAAGTGGCATCGATTTGCGTCACTTGGGGTAAGCATAACATTACCTTCCTCCGGTAACTGCCCTGGTCAACTTTTTGGATAGGGTTTCTTTCTAGGTAGATCGTCCTCAAAGCAGACAACTTAGAAAGCTTCAATAACTCGTTCCAATCTGAGATTTCATTGTCATTTAACTGAAACAAAAAGAAATATGCAAAACTTTGTAAATCTGAAAGTGGATAGATAATTACATGTTTCAAAACAGATGACATATATGCAAAGTATACAAATCTTTTCTATAATACTAAGTAAAAGCAACTCAAGCAAAAACCATTTGACAAATGAAACTTTTTCACCATCAACCCATCATTTTCCAACAATTTTTGTATCTCTGTCATTTTAAGTACTAAATGCTTAAATATTAAACACACCCATATATCTTCCAACTGATTTAAATGGACAAGACCATCCATTTTAACTATCTTGTTGTTAGCTGCATCAATTATTTTTAGCTTTTTCTGCAAAGAATTCTATTTTAACACTTTAAAGAGACAAACAAATCCATATTCAAAAGAATAATGCATCAATTCAAAATGGTAAAGATATATTTTCTACACTGAACAAAGAAAAAATTTTTGATAATATAGAGATGATAATAAATAGATAACATCAAAACTTAAAAAACCTGAGGCGCCAGCTCAGTCAACGATTCAATTCCTTGATCACTAATATGAAGTTCAGTAAGCTCAGTAAGCATCGAAATACCGCTTAATTCAGTTAAACGATTTGCCTGTAATAAAAAACATCAAAAATGTCAAATGTCAAACATAAATTCATCAAATAAATAAGAATTCAGTTGAATTTCCTTTAAAACGACAGCAAAAATGGAAAATCTCACCGGAGCACTCAGCACAACAAGTTTAACCAAGTTTTCCAGATTTTCGAATTTCTGGATTTTATTTTTACCAATGTACAGCTCACGAAGATTTTGCAAATGTCCAATGTTTTCCAATTTCTGAAAAAGAAATATAATGGCAGAGGCCATTAAACACCAAATGAAGAAACTGTTCAAGGATAAACATAAGGCAACCTTTATTCGATTATCACCAAGCTCAAGCACTTCAAGCTTTGTAAGTGATTCCAAACCATCAATTTTTTCAATTTTATTGTGCACCATATAGATACGTTTCAAGTTACACAATGCAGATAAACCTTCAATTTTTCTGATACGATTGTAGCTTAAATCAATAACTTCAAGATTGACCAGTGCATCAAGATTTGAAATAACCTGAAATAAAAACTCTTTTCCAAGCATCACTTTTCCCTCCAATCTAATATTTGAGTGGTTTTTCGAAAGATCATAATTATTATAAATGTATTAACATAAGACGACTGAAATAATTAAAGCATAACATAGATTAATCGAATTAGAATGTTTAAATGATGAGAAAACAGTTCAAAAACCTCAATCTGATTGTCGTATAAATCAAGATGAGTAAGAGTGGAGATTGCAAGGTGATTATTGAGTGATACTAATAGATTCTGTCGCAAGCAAACTTCCTTTAAAAGAAACAATTAATGAACAAAATATATAAATTACAATACCACTTCAAAAATCCCAAATGAAAGAAAAAAGATGATACATTTGATGTAGCAGGATGGTTTGTTGATAAAAATATAGGAATTAACAGAATAAGTATCAATAAAAAAGGGGTATCAATAAAAACTTGATAACAGAAGATGAAGTGTACCTTTAATTCGGTGAATCTTGAAAAATCCGGAATAGCGTCTACGCGGCACTGAACTAGATCTATAGTCTAAAACATCTCCAGAGAGAAAAAAGTTCAATTATTAGGACAACAAAAGAATGATTAAAATTTTCTAATTTTACCCTCCAGTTTATTTACTTAATTCTTGCAGGTTTTATTTTTCCGCTGATGACTCTTCTCTTATATTTAAAGTTCATCCATTATCAATTGATGCAATACGGTAAAATGACTTAATGAAATGAAAAAAAAAAGTGTATCTACTTTACCTAACGATAAAAAAAAATTTCCATATTCTTTGAAGAAACATTTACCTCTGTATCAACATCAAATTCATTCAAGTCAAATAGATTTCGATGTAACTTTTCATTGTTTTCTTTCTGTGCCACATTTGTTTCATCATCCATCAGTTCATTATCATGATTAATATTAGCGTCACTCTCTGCCATTTCTGAAATTTTATTCAACTCTACAAAAACAAGTACAACATGCAAACTAGCACATTTGCATTCTGAACGATCATCATAAAGCTACATAAACATATACATTCATTAAAGATTAAATGAATATATACACCAACAGATAAGAAATTGAGAGCTGGTTACAACATGAATTTCCTATTAATCATGATTTCTTTGCTGAAATCCGTACATTGATGTCTTTCTTTTTTTCTTTGGAGGATAGGTTACGCTACATTTGATCGGAATTCTTCATATGATATGACCAAAGTAATACCTTATTCCACTTTCTATATTCAAAACTTTGATATCACAGGTCACTACCACCACTAATATTTCTTTTTTGCATACCCTTAAATTGCTCTTTGTGTAACAACGGATAACAACCAACATTATATGTAAATATTGATATCATGATCAGGAAACCGAATATGGCAACCGTTCCGGATGCTGGTCTACGATAAAAAGCTAATCGTGAATATCTATCCAATAGTCTAAACCAAAATTTCCTTATGAAATTCTCCATCTTCCTTTCCGATTTAGAAAAACTTCTCTATTCCTTTATTTATATCGTTTATGCCTGCAGAGAAGTTTATTCTTTATTTTAACAATTTTATGAAAATGACAAAAATCGACATAAATACATGCAAAGCTTAGAAAGTTACAAGCGAAATAATAATAATAATAATAATAACGTATAAACCAGAATCCCAGTGGAATTTATTAATCATCACATCTTGACAGGTTGCTATCACGCTAACACTCGCAATCTTCATCAACATCATCTCTTCAATTCCCTTCTAATTCTAACAATACATTGTTCTACAGTTCTTATCAATTTCTATTCCTCTCATAATTACCGCACTATTTTCTATTAAAAAATCAACGAAATTAAAACGAGTAAAAATATTACGTATGCTTACGTGTATTCTCGGTCAGGAAAGGTAAAGATTAGCACATGTGATTATAGCAGTTATAACTTGAAGGTTTTCACTGCAACATTACATCCCTCCACGTTATCTGACAATTAAACATAAGATTACGAGGAGACCGATTTAGACGTGAATTGTCCGTCTAACTAGCTTTCTCGACTTAATTGTATTTGACAAGTTGTTTATGTGAGATGATGATCTCAAAGTTTGAAATTTTCTTTACTCGCTCAAGAAATGAATGAAATTGAGAAGATAAATAAAAGTTGGCGCTTGCAACTATAATAATTCAGCACTGGCAAAAAATTTCTCATTCTTCGTTTTGTCGTCATGCCGTACGTCAATGATTGGCATTGAATGAGACACCTGACAATCTCTTCTTTAATCTTTCTTTAAATGTTCTTTCTCTTGAATGATAAATCTCGAGATCATTTTATTTCATTCCCATATTTAAGGTTTACATTTTCACATGTAGGAATAAGGAAGTTGCAAGATTTCTCAGATTTTCTTATGTTTCATTTTTAAAAGAGC